AGTGTGGCAATTTTGCCAACAATTAGCAGAAGTTTCATAGCAACTCTGTGGCAGATCTAGAAAATTATTGTTTTCCCCATTATTATCAACCCCATGATTTCTTAAGTGTAGCCCTGACTTACAGATCATACTTAACAGGTCTGTAAAGAGAGGAAATATCTACACAAACACACCAAAGCAAAGTGTAACAGAGCTTCATAAATTATATCCACCAGAGCAGTCATCACTACTGTTTGTTTTTATTAGGTCACTAATATCTGTGGTCAACAGAAGCATTAAAGGATGAGACGTGTTCTGGTTTTACTGCCCACACTGAAAAGCAGAAAAAATCAAACCCATCCATATTCCCTTGGTCTTTGTAACAAAAACCTGAATGATTCCCAAATGGTGATTTACAACCAGTTGTAACCCTCACTATGTAATGGAAATAATAACCCAGGTTGGCTCTTGCTGGTGGGGTCACACCAAATTTAATTTGCTCCTGAATTATATGTGTAATCCAAAGTGGTAACACCCATTACTGTCGTGGTTTAACCCCAGTCTGCAAATAAGTATTACATAGACACTTATTTCAATTTACAGATTTTATTACTAGAACCCCTAATTTCAATACAGTACTTAGAAACAATTAGCACCAAAAAAAAAAACAAACCCCAAAAAAACCCCAAAAAACCCCAAGATACAAAGTTGGATCCTAAATATCTTTTTAGTTCACAAATTCATTTTTTTCCTCTTAGCTACTTGGATGTTTATTACAAATAACTTAGCTMTTTTCCTTGAATACCACTGTTGGACACTTGTCAATATTTCTCAAGGAAAAACTCGGTACAAGCCAGGAGCCCAAGAAGCCAAGATTCTTCTCCTCAAAATGTAAATTCTTGCTAAAGTGCTGACACTTAAATTAGGCCAACCAAGTAAAGTAGTAAAAYTACACAATATAAAACACAGCAATGGAATATCACTTATCCTCATCTTGATAATAAAAACAATGCAGCAGCACAAAATGCTTCATTCCCACATCCCATGATCTGCTATGAAGTTCCAAGCAGCAGGATTACATTGCCCAAGAAAATAAATAATACTGCCTACTGAAAATAAATAAATTTTCACTGCTGAGCATTGGCTAAACACCTTTAGATGCATCTCTGTACTTCACACTCCATAACAAGAAGGAGAGAAAAATAAAACAAACCAACCAATGAACCAAACACAAACACTCTGTACCCTCTCTCAGCTCCTTCAGGTCACATTCTGTGATGAGTAAACAGAAGTTTAAGGTTTAATAAAAACCAGAGTTAAGGTTTAATAAAAATCCTTAAATTAATTATTTAAATTATATAATTTAATTTAAAATTAYATAAAAATAAAAAAATTATTTGAAGAAAATAACACACATGGCATTTAGGGTTCCCTATTCAGTAAAATATGGCAACACTTTTCCATAGGATATCCTTTCCAAAGGATATCTCCTTTCCACCTGGCATTCTRCAYCTGCTTTTTGTGCAGCAATATTCATATTCACCAACATGAACAGTCCATCACCAACCCTGATGCACAGGCAGCCATGAGAAGTGCAATCCCCACCAAGAAAATGCAGTGAAATAATATCCTACTAYGAAATTTTATTTCCAAACCTAACCCCTACCTCAGCTTTCAGATCTTTGTGCCAGACTTTGCTTTTCTCCTTTCAGTAAATATGAGGTTTTGTATTGTTCAGCTAGAGACAGAAAAAAATCTTTCTCTCCTGAATGCTTTAAACCTGCTAGCCAGAGGGAAAAAGAGGAGGAGAAAATGCTCTAAAAATCATATTTGGAGCTCCATCCCCCTTGACTGAACTGAATCTCTGCATCTGCCACAGAAATTATCCTTCTCCAAATAGCAGCTGAAGCAATATGGAACAAACTTGGTCCCCAGACAATTTCCCAACTACTCATATGGTTCTGTAGAGCAGCCATGAAAAATAATAATTCTGAGTAATTCAGTTCTGCTGTGGCTTGAAAAACCYGTGACCCAAAGCAGAAATGTTGGACATGCCTCCAGATTCAAGACAGCATTGCAAGCTCAAAATACAAAGAGATTTATTTATTTCTGAGATTTATTTCCAATCTTTTCTTTCAGAGGACATCAGCCTCTGCAGAAGAGGTAGAGATTAGTCTCCTTCCCATTTTAAATGAAGCCATACATTTTGCAGAAATTATTAATTCTTCTTCATTTACAGTTGTAAACCTGAAGTTTAAGACCCTCTACTCAAACTGCAGTTTGAATGTTTCCTAATAATACCCAAGAGAAAATGTTCATATGCTTAGTCCTAACACAACAGAAGACACACCATAATGGAAATTCCATTACAGCAATGATTAATGACAGCAGATTATTTCTGTGTGAGACAGAATGCAAGAAAACATCCAGTGAAAAATCTCTCCAGAAAAAAATTACAGCACATTTCTCATACAGAGCCAATTGTCCTCCTACAAACAAACAGGAACATAAACATAACCTAAAGAAAAATTCAGCTTTTTTATTGCCAACTTTTTTTGTTTTTTCTGATATTTCTGAAAGCAGAGCTGGGGAATGAGACAGAAGATTTGGGGCTTTCATTTCAGCAACCCAAAACCCTACAGAGGAATCTGCTTTGGGAGTCAGGCCAGACATTCCAGCCTCAAACAGAAGAAGTGAAAGACACTTCCCAACAAASTAATGCATTAAGTTTTATGGTTTCCACTTTTTTTTTCCATTTTTTAGAGCTCTCTGTCACAGATAAAGCAGGAATATGCCACTGTAGTCTGATATCACTATGCAAAAAACATCATGTGTGCAAGCTGCCAGTTCCTTATTTTAATAAGCTTTAGCCTCATATATCTCCTCATATAGCTTTCCTTAATTAAATGTGTTGAGGAGRGATTTCCTTGAMAAGAAAGGGATGTCTGTGCAAATTMATATGGAAATATCAGACATAATACATGTATCCATACATGCCAGTCCAAGAGGACTAAGATTTTTTTTGCTATTATTATTCCTGCTATGCCTTTTTAGTTAAGCAGACTTTAGCTTTATTTCTAGATACAAGGAAGGTTTACATTTTGTTCTTTGGAAGGTCTGAATTTAATCTGTATTTAAGCATCCATAAACKTTACCTTTTTTGTTGGTTCTAATAATTGTCTCAGACAACAGTAAAGGGCTTCCATTGGAAACTTCATTTATAGGCTTCTCTGGTGGTTTGTTGGCAGTATTTTCTTTCTTCATGTCTTTCTTTATTTCCTGCAGAAGGCAGGTAGAGAAAAGGAAAAAAAAAAAAAAAAAGAAACAGTTAAAAAAAAGGTATTACAAAATATTCTAAATCTCAAGCTTCCAAGATTTTTTAAAACTTCTGTGCATATATCTCTGCTTACTCTAATGTTACCCCAAAAACTCTTACAAAGTTGAAATGCCACAAAAAGAAAGTAATTTTCAGTAACTTTTTTCCATGGACACTATTGCTTTTCTTTTTAAAGTAATTTCTTATTAATGTGTGAAAATTGCAGGACACCTTTAAAAATCTCTTGGTAAAGATCACCAAAAGTGAAAGGTGTGAGGGGGGATAAAGAATAGATGTGTCAGTTTTTCAGGCTGTTTTCTACAGCCACTTTGACAAAACATCCMACATATCATCACCTTTCGAATATCTGATTCTGAAAAAACACTGAAACAGAGAAACAGCATCACCTCCACTTTCAAGACAGATAATGACATGCTACAGAGGCTGAACTGTTTGTTTAATACCATTTCCCAAAAAAAAAAAAAAAAAATAAGTTTTAGGGGAAAAGCTTTGTCCTAGAGCTGCAGAGCCACTCAGGCTGATAGAGAACTCAAAGTTAAAATCAGTTAAAACCTCTCCAGTTAAAACCAGGCTGTTTAAGGTTGTTTGCCCAGTTGGATCTTGAAAATGTCCAAGGGCAGAGGCTGCACAAGGCCACTGCTTGACTGACTTTATAGTGCCAAAAATGCTCCTTACACCTTGTCTGGAACTCTCTTTTCAAGTGTCATCTGCTGTTGCCTGTCCTGCCCACCAGAATCACTGTGAAGGCTCTGTCTCCAAAAATAACAATCTTGAAAGCATGAGAAAGTCCCCCAAAAACCCTGCTGAACAGCYCACAGCTCCCTCAGCATCTCTGCAGGGAGTATTTATATTTACTGCAGCTTCCACAGCCACAGAACTTAACTCAGATCATCAGGATCTTCCCCTGATGCCAAATTCTGATCCCATCATCAAGATCTTCCCTTGATGCCAAATTCTCATCCCATCCCAAAATGGGATGAGTATCCTGGATGTGGACTGAGTGCCAGGTGAAGGGGGATTATCACTGCCCTAAACCTGCAGGGTGTTAATGCACCCAGGATGCTGTTCACTGTGCCAGGGTACAAGACTGGCACAGGTTTATGTTGTTACCCACCAGGACCTACAGGTCCTTTTTAGCAGAGTTATTCCCAAACCCATCCCACTCTGCAGATCTGCCACCAATTCCACTCTGCAGATCTGCCACCAATTC